TGCTCGCCAAAAACTTTATCCGCCGGCGTCGATCTCTCTCTGTGACCACTTTTTACGTCCTTTTCTTTGCCCTCCAATTTGCCCTCTTCATGCTGACCGCGGGGCGAACGCCCACCCACCTGCCGGTGGCCGTTGTCAACGAGGAGAAGGAGTCACCGGCCAATCTCTCCGCCCACTTTTTCACTCACCTGCCGGCGGACGCCTTTCATTTGCTCAATTTCAGCGGCGATCTGCAGGGGGCAGAGCAGATGGTCGTCGAGGGGCGGGCCTGGGCGGTGCTGCACTTTGGCGAGGAGTTCTCCGCGGCGATGGATGATCGGCGAGTTGAGGTACATTGGAAAAAAACTGGCACACTTAAAGTTTTAAGCATTTTTAACCTCTTTTTTCAAGCATTTCGCCGCCGAGAACGAGACCATCGAGGCGTCCAACCTCCACCTCTACCTGGACATGTCCAACCTCTTCGTCAACCTGGCGCTCTTCCAAAACATCATCCCCGCCCTTCGCCAGATGGTGGCTGACTTTTTGCGGGCTTCAGGCGATAACCCAGCCCTCCTCTCCACGCCCCTCGATATCACCGAGGTGATCTACGGGCGGCTGGACTTTGGCTCCTTTGTGCGAGACGCCTTCACGCCCGGTTTCATACTCTTCCCCGCCTACTTCACTACGGCGGCCGTCACGGCGTTGGCACTGCTCAACGAACGCGAGGACGGCCTCCTGGAGCGCTCCCTGGTGGCAGGAGTTCGGCCGCTGGAGGTCTTCTTCTCGCAGGTGATCACCCAGGCGGCGGTGCTGGTGGCCCAGCAGGCGGTCCTCTTCACTACCGTTTTTCTGCTGTTTGGGGTAGTTAGCCAGGGGCCGATTGGTCTGATCTTTCTGCTGTGTTATCTGCAGGGTAAGTGGTGGTGGCTGAAGTCATTTTTGATAAGTTGATAAGCTGATAAGATGATTTTTGGGCCTTTTCTGCAGGCGTGGCCGGCATCATGTTCGGCCTGGTGGCCGCCACCCTCGGCAAGGAGGTAATTCCCGTGTCGATTGTCACTCTGGGCAGCTTTCTCCCCTGCATCATTCTAAGTGGCTTCTTCTGGCCGGTCTCTGCCGTCGTCTGGTGGCTTCGGCCGGTGTCGCTGGCCATGCCGCAAACGATGGCCATGGAGGCGATGAAGGCGATTCTGACTCGAGGTTGGTCAGCTGATGCCTGGGAGGTGCAGCTTGGATTCGTTTCTACTATTGCCTGGGTGGTTGGGTATTTTCTCCTTGGGCTGTACCTTTTTGTGAGGTGTTTTTCCTGAAGGTGAGCGATTTTTTATTGTTTGATTTGAACTATGGTCAGCTTTTTAGTAGTTTAAAAAAATTGAAATTACATTTTGTTTTTACTTTTTTTATTTTTTTTTGTTAGCTATCCTTTCCGTTTTGCGCCTCTTTTTGGTGCACTGAATTACTTTTTGTACAGCTTTTTGTTTTGTTCTTGTTTCATTTTGTTCGTCCCCTCATTCTTCATAACTTTTGGCTTTGAATGGCCGCTGACAGCTGCTGACTGACTTTTTTCCTCCTCCCCTTCTTTTTCCTCGCTTTCATTTTGCCTTGTGCATTGACAATCAATGCAAATCAAATTGCCACCGCCGATCGCGGTGACATCGCCTAGAATTCTCGCAAGCATCTGGTCAGTTGTGTGCCTGGTGTCCGCTTTCTCCATTTGCAGTTTTCTCCTTGTCGTTTCATCGCATATCGAACACACAAAGATGACAGGCAAACTGTCAGGAACATCAGCCCCCGTCCACTTTTTGACCATCATCGATCCGCTGACTTCTCTTTCTTTTTCCCTTTCTTCTTCCCCTTGCTCATTTCGATATATTCACCGTCACCAGTTACTGCTTCAATTCAAGCTGATCTTTTGATGATTATGCTGCTGCCGCTGCTGCTCTGTAAATTTATTTCTCGGAAAAATCTAAGCAAAGTAGTGTGAGGGCGGCAAACAGAACAGTCACCCTTCACTTTTTGTTTTTTCTCTCTAACTCAAATGCAACTGTCCACTGCACTTTTTTGTTTTTTATATTATTTTTTTTGTACTGGCGACATTTGTGCGCGTTCCTTCATCTTTTCATTCTTTTCCCATCTCTATCTTCTTTTGTTTATTTATTTGTCATCTTTTTTCTTTCTCTTGTTCTCCTTTGATTTTTTGCCCTTTTTGTGTTGTTCACTGTTCTCAAATTTTGATTTGTTTTATCCCACTTGAAACAAGAAGAAGATGATGATAAAGAACACTGTCAAGGCCGATTTTTTATTAGTCGGCTTTTGGCTGTAGTTGAACTGACTGACTGACTGAACACGCCGCCAACCAGCTGACTACTCAACTTTTTTTTGTTTTTACAAAAAAGACTCAAAAAATATTTTGGCAAGTTTATGGTAGTTGTAGTAGAAAAAATTAATTTGATTTTAATCTAGCAACCAGTACTAAAAAGGGAACAATTGTTGTTACTTTTATTACAACAAAAAGATTTTTTTGTTTGTAAAAATAATATGCTTTAATTCTTTGACTCTCTTGATCATCATCAACGTCTCAACGTCTTTCCATTAAACTAGGGTCAAAAAATCAATTTAACAAGTAAAAAAGTTGCAGTAAAACACACTACTTCCATTACCGGCTTCATCATATTTTTTCCATTCTTCTGCTTTTCTCCTTTCATGTCGTCCAATTCTGGTCCGGTTTCTCAATCACAGCAAAGTTTTTCCCTTCATATTTTTTGTTCTGTTTGTTCTGCTACTCTGTTGTTTCTCTCTTTTTGTTACTCCATTGTTCTATTTCTTCTTTTTCCGCTTTTCTCCTTTTTTCTGTTCTGTTCAGTTCAGCAGCAGCAGCAATTGGCTTAAATGAAACCATTTAAGTTTCAATCGACGTCCTCTTCGCAGCAGCAGCAAATCAAAACTGCAGTGTGGACTGCCAGGCGAGGTTCATTAGGTTAAAGTGCGCCCGGTGCCGGCGATGTTCGGTGTTGGTTCGGCCGGGCACCCCTCTACAAAACGGCAAATGGTAAATGGTAAATGGCACAGTCTCTTTGTGTGTGTGTGTGTGTTTTAGAGGCAGCCATTGAACAGCATCAGAACCAACAGCCGACTAGTTGTTCTCCAGAAGAAGGTCGATATTTTCCAAGAGTTATTTATTATGACGCTCAGTCGGTTAGGTTGCTGCTGCTGCTGCTGCTGCTGCTGCTGATGAGAAACAGGAAAGAGTGCAAAATGGCCAACAGTTTACTGCTACTGCTTCTGCTACTGATTCGATCCACTGTGTCTGGGCTCTAGAAAAAATCAAGTAAATGATGATGGGGACGAAAGAAAGGATGGAAGTAGTAAAACACTGAACAGAGTTACGCAGGGTGACGGATATTGGCGGAAGGAAAAGGCGATGTCTGTGTTTTAGTATTATTTACTGTTTGGTTACTTGAAGAGAAGATGACCAATTTGATCAGAGCTTTCTTTTCGCTAAAATATTGACAGATTTTTTGTGTTGATTTTTAAATTAACTAAATTTTGAAAAACTGCTGCTGCACAGTGGAATGTCGGGCTGTGATGGACATTGCTGCTGTTGTTGACATGTGTTTTAATTAATTCACTCTCCTTCTGTAAAACTTGATGATGTAAATGAGTAAACAGATTGCGTTGTCACCCACTGCTGCCTGCTACTTGTTTTCATTTAAAAATTTTGTTTAACTAATAGAATAATTTTATTCTTTGCTTCTTTGGGCCCCTTGCACATTTGTTTCTTTTACTCATTTTAAATTAATAAACGTTCTTCACTTTTTACCGGGTACTTTTTATTCGTTTGTCTCTTTTTTCCCTCTTTCATTCTTGAAAAACATACTTTCTTATTCCCTCTAATTGTTGGGGTTCTAGTGTCTCCCCATTACCAGGCAAGCAGTGTGCTGCTTTCACCACTAGTTCAGTTTAGTTTGCTGATCTCAGCTGAGCACCCCACCAAAGCGAAGCTGCAAGTGCAAATTTTACTACCGCCGCCGACGCTGGTTCACTTCAGCAGTGAGACTGCTGCTGCTGCTCTTGAAGAGTACAGAAGAAGAAGAAAAAACATTTCCTGCCGTCGTCTGGCAAAAGGAAAAGAGGGGAGAGAACGTTCTCTGGTCCCATTAGAAGACTAATTTTCAATGAGGAGACAGAAGAGGAGACCCAAAAGTGCTGGAGCTGGAGCAGCTCTTGTTAGCCTGCTGCAGCCGCTGCCTCAATTATCTCATCTCAGCTGGCCAGTTGTGCCACACACACACACATACACTTCATCGGCACCGGCACTGGTTGCCGCCGACACCCAAAAAGAGAAAAGAGAAACCAGGCTGCCTCTGATGACCAGAATATAGCAGCAACAGCAGTGGTGGTGGTGGTGGTAGCGGCAGTACAGATAAAGTATTCCGGTTTGCTCAGAGGAGAGAGAGAGAGAGAGAATTCTGTCGTAGAAAAATTCTACTACCACCACCACCACCACCCCCAGAACATTCTCTGCAGTTAGAGCACAGGCTGCAGCACTGCTGCAAAGCAGTTCCTGGAACAGAATCAACCAAACCAAGCTGAACTGAGAGCACTGGAGCACTGGAGCACGCTGCCACACACACACACACACACTACACTCTCTCATTTGGGTGCTGAGCTGCAGAGGAAGAAGAAGTGCTGAAGAAAGCTCAGCTGGTGCAACTTTTGCTGATTCGCTTGCATTCATGCATTCATTCAGTCAGTCAGTCACTGCCCGGCAATCGGCCAGTTAGCCAACGAATGTTCTCTTTCTCTCTTTCCTATTCTGCCTCGTTTTGAACGCAGTCACTTCTGCACTTTTTGTGTTCGCATTTCATCTGAATTTATTCTCTTTCCTCATTTTGCTTGTGTGCCCAGCCAGCAAAAAGAGAGAGGGAAACAACGAAAAACACAACACAAACACAAACAGACCACAGTGCTCTGCAACAAATCGCCACTCTAACGCTGGAATATTTGCGCCAAAATTTTTTTCTGCCGGCGGTTTCTACTTTCTCTGAGACTTTGAAGAAACTGCACTGGACTTTGACTTTTCCTGGAAGCAAAGAGGAAATGTGAGCTTTGTGCTGCTCAAACTGTGCGCAGCCATCAAATAGCAATTGGCACTGACTTTGTTTTTTATTTTTATTTTTGTTTTTCGTCAGTTACTTTTTCAACTCTGCTCTTCTTCTCTTTAAACTGTCACTCAATTTGTGGCTGATTGTTTTATCAATGCCGCCGCTTTTTTTCTGACGCAAGTTCACCATGTGTGTGTGTGACCAGAATGGGTGAACAGTGGGCACAACAAATACAACACAATGACAACAACTGTCTGTCTGAGTTGTTGTTTGAGCTGACTGTGACTGACTGAATTTGACTATTTTTTGCCATTCACTATTTGACCTGTCAGTGCCGCTCACACCCTTTTTTCTGCGCCCTCAGTTTGACACCTGACATTTCTTCTTCTTCTTTGAGCACACTCACACTGTCAGCAGACTTTTATAACACTGGAAACGCACTTTAATTCAGCGCACACACTTCTACTTCTTCTCTGCTCAATCACTTTTCTCCTCGCCTTCATCTCATCTCCTCTATCACTTCACTTCACCACCATCATCAACACACCATCATCAATCGATAATCTCAATGCTCCTTCACTTCATCAGCACCTAACACCGAGCCTCGATTATTCATTCAAATTTTATTCATCTGATCATTGTTCAAACTTTTTTCCTTCCTTCCCTTCCCGCCTCCTCTTCCTCTTCCACTTTACAGGCGTTGGTTTTTTCTAATTGAAACCTCTTCCCTTCTTTTTGCTCAGAAGCAGCCGCACACTCTTCACTGTAAAGTCAATCAAAATTTAATTAAACTTTACCATCGCTGAGGCACCAACACACAACATCCTGCTTTTGCTTAACATCAGTTACTTTCCCGTTACTTTCTCCGGTTTTTCTTTTTTTTTATTTGGCAACTACAATCGTGTTCACTTTGATTTTCATTGTGTGTGTTTTTTCTTGTGCTATTTTTTTGGCGCTGGCGCTACTACAACTTTCCTCAACACTCTGCCCTTCAACTTTTAGCTTCACGGCAACGATTTTTTTCAATTAAATATTTGGTAAGTTGCAAACATTTTTGCTCTGTAGTAGTAGTCAACATACAGTAAAGTATTTAGTAAGAAAAAAATTTGCTTTTAAACTATTTTTAACCTAGTTGTATATTAAAATTTTAAAAACACAT